CATAGCAACCGGTGACGTGACATATAAAATCATCATTACATTTTATAAAATAGTACAATAACATATTTAATGATTAACTTACTCTATGCGTTTCATTATTATGAATACGTTGTTCAATCATCTTTATTATGTAATAATATTTTTTGTAATGTGTATTTCACTTAGTAACTATACTGATTATTTATTCAGTATATTATGATGATTATTCTTATCATTAAATGTATTAAATATTGTGTAAAAAAGAAACAAAAAAGAGATTAAGTTTATCCGAATAAATATTCCAAGAATGAAAGAAAAAAATAAATTTGTATCCTATAGTTCCTCATTCATTTATTGTTACTATGCTGTTTTATGAAAAAGAAAAAAACAAAGAAAAGCATAAAAGAAATTTTTTTTTGATATTTAAATGTATCTCTATCATCATAGATTGTCATTGATAAAATGTAAAATGTTATTCGTCATTCACACAATTGGTTGAAAATTCAAAATAAATTTTTGTAAGAAAAAATATAATTATATTGGTTTATTCAATGTGTCATGAATCATTTATAATGGTTGTTTAATTATTTATTAAAATAGAACACATCATGAAGTAATTTTATTCTTAAGATCATGAGTCAACTGAAGTTAGACCACTATGGAAAAACTGGAAGCACTGGACGGCCTTTTCGTCCTATTGTGAGACTATTCAGCAGTGAGCATACACGACCTTTTCCCTGAGAGATTCGAACCCAGAACCTACTGGTTTCGCGCGTGAGCACTTAACCACTAGACCACTGGGTTCAAATCTCGCTGGGAGAGAGGTCGTGGATGCGCACTGCTTAAGAGTCCCATAATAGGACGAAACGGTCGTCCAGTGCTTCCAGGTTTTCCATGTTGGTCTAGCTTCAACTGACTCATGATTTTAACCATTGAAATTACTACAATCTCCATTAAACCCCTTCTGATAATAATCTTAGTCTGTTTTTTTTTAAAGTAGACTATTCTATCTACTGTTACCTGGGCAGCTTGATTGAATATCTGGGCTACCTGTGAATAATTTTTGTGGTTAACTTTTTTTGCCGAGTTAGTTTTCTACGGGATGGGGTCACTAAACCCATGCCCAACCCTCTTCCTTTATCCGGGCTTAGGACCGGCAGTAGCCCCCGGAGGAGCTACAGGCGGAGTTGCTACCTGTGAATGGTATCTAGATATTTCGGCGAGACTATAATCTATGGACGAACCAATCAGTTATAAAATAACACATCTTGGATTTTATCGCGAAATCCTTTCACTCATCAAATTGGTTAAATAGAGTTTTGGCATTATAGCTTATATCAGTGCTATATCCTGATAAGAAATACGATGAAAAATCCCGGAAAATTTAAAATCCCGGTCTTCAAAAAGGGGAGATGTTATATCCCGATAAGAATAATGAATGGTAGTTTTTAGGATCCATTTATGGACCGATACTATGAGTATACATTTTATCGTGTAATTGTAATGTAACTAATCTGTTCATATTCATGTCCCTCTTATTATGAGTTTTATTTTGACCTATGACCTGTTATTATACGATTTACCGTTCTTGAATTATTCCCTGTCTATTAATTACTATCTCCCTCATTCACAGCCACATTTGGCTAAATCTCGTACAAATGTTATTTTCTGTTTTATGGTACTTTGTGGTCTGTCTGGTTGGTATATAAACCCCGTATGTTTGGAACAAATGATTCGTATTGCCGAGGCTGAGATTCGTGTTTTGGACTCAACTAGTTAGGCTAGGCGGAAAGCAGGGCCAATCAGGACTCTAGGCTGCTCGCACGTGTCTATCGTGTCACTGGTTCGATCGATAATTCGCTGCTCTCCGATCGGCGGTATCGTTGCATTATACAATAAACAGGGCACACAGGTTCATAAGTTATAACAATCAGTTCGTGATGAAAACGCGAAATCTAATTCCTAAACTTAATCATTAACTGTAAATTATAATCTTAATTCCTCACACAGGTTTATAATCCTCATTTGGTCCTAATTATTAAATGAACACTCCCAAGTTCAGTCTAGCGTCGCTCAAAGGTCGTCCATAAATTATAGTCTCGCCATTATTTCGACAAGTTTTCTGTTTTATTGTTTATTTTTACAGATCATTATGTGGATTAATTATATAACCTATTCAGGTGGATTAGTGAAAAGGTTACGACCTTTTTGTACAAGTTACATCATGATGGATGATAATATGCATTGAAAAGAATGAATATTACTCAAATGTCGACTTCTGAACTGTTAAAATCTAACTGGCGATCACTCAGTGTTTATCATTAGGATCAATCAAGAAATAAGAAACGGAAACTTGTTGAAAGACGTTTTGCTAAGTATTCTATATTGAATAAAGATAATAATAATAACAAATAGTATAATTGCCATTATTTTACCTTTGATAAATTATACCACTGAAAAAAGAGCTTTTCTTCCTTAAAATGTGTTTAATGTTTCTTTCATGTTCAGTAAATCAGCATAGTATAGTCATGTAAGGAAAGAGATATTCATCAAGAGCGACACTATACAACCACGTCATCATACTACAAATTAATCCAAGATAACGATATGGATAACTGGATATTGAGCTAATGATCTAAAGCAGGTATCATTACCAAAGTTTGGCAGGATAACTTCAAATAAATCGAGTATTGGGTAGTATTTTATAAATAAAGATCTCTCTAGCCCCAAATCTTTTTTAGAAAAGCTAACAAGACTATCACATATGAAGTGGACAAACAAAAAGTACGAAAGCATTTAATTAACTTCTTACAATTTAATCATTTTCCTATGAAGATTATTAAGTGTATCAAAACAAAACATTTCATTGCTTAATAGTAACTCGAATGAAATACCATGGATTGGTATGTGGGAGATGTTGTTCAGAAGAACGATCAAAGCTCCAAGACTAATCCATCCAGCTCAGAAAACAAAACTCCAAAACCATGGATTGGTACTGCGATTTTACCATATCACCATGGTACAAAAGAAGAACTACAAAGAATTTTAAAACAACATAGAATTAAAGTATATTGCAAAACAACGAACACACTTCGAAATACTTTAGTCCGCTTAAGAGAAAAAATCCTCTTTATGTTAACACAGACTGTGTCTGCAAATTAGGATGTGTTGATTGTGATGCCTTCTATATTGGAGAGTCATCTCGCGAAATCTTGATTCTAGCAAAAGAACATCTTAGGTATAAAAAGAAACCACCTAGTAATCCCTTAGAACTGGATAAACTTCAAATTAAATCAGCTATAGCAGTTTACGCCATTTACAACAATCATCAAATCTATATCAAAAACATCAAAATATTAGAAAAAGAAAGGAAAGTAGTTGAAGCTTTGCACATAATACCTAATCCTATTGCTCTGAACAGAAAAGAATGTCTCAATATCTATCCGACTTGGACTATTTATCCAAGCTTCGATGTCTGATATTATTCACATCTCACAGTGTTTTCGTACATGCAAATTAAAGTCCATCCTTTCTCACCACAAGGATCACATTTTTTTCATTTTGATGGAGTTTTGTTCTCTGAGCTGGATGGTTTGGTTGTGAAGCTTTCGTCGTTCTTCTGAACGACATCATTAGCACAGACTTCACGTGAGCTACAAATCTCCTCCATCTCATATTTTTTCATCTTTGACCGTGCACACATACACAAATTCATATACATGTCGCTTATAAATCACCTTGACCAGAATGACTTGGTACTGACCTGTTTTTGATCTTACCTAATATTCTTGCTTTGTTTCTTTGTACTATTTAAACTTGAATTAATTTGGAGTTGATTATTTATTGTTTGAAGAAGTGGTTTGCACTGATTCACGAAATGTCAGAATGTCTAATTTTTCTACTCATTAGGATATTATAAATATATTAGTATTTATTTTTAATGATCTAAAAGTTTCATCATTACGCTTAATTCTAGAAGTAACAGATTCTTAATTCCATCAAAGATGATCAATTTATACAACAATGATGTTAGAAATCACAATATATTATCTATTTCATGATCCCTAGTTTAAACCAGTTCCATATTATATGATTGTTGAATTTTGTTCACGTTTTCTTTATGCAACATAAACCTCAAACATTCGGAACATTGATTTACATGTGTAGTGTCGGTTGATATGTTAAACCCATATACCTTATTCTAGCTTCTGAACAAACTAATTTATCCGTTCTTGTTGAGTCATGTTTTGACCTTGTCAATTATTCGCTTATCAATCTTGACTGTTTTTATATGAGCGTATACGTGTATACATCTTATCCTACTTACCACATGTCTGTAACTTATTTTTGTGTGACTATAAATGTTGATTCACGTTTAATTAAATGAAATTGGCTGACATGCCTTCTCCACTGCGTGTTGTTTCTCTCTCTCTTTCTTCTTCGCTTCCTTCTCTACATCTCTTTGATTATCTGTTCCGATCAACGATTATAGAAAATATATATTTTAGAAAATCTATTCTTCTATTTGACTTATTTAATTCCGTTATTCACTAACTTAATCTAAGTCAATAATTATATACGAGAGTTAACGATCAGAAACGATCTCACTAGATTCAGATCCCGGACCACTAAACATTCATAATGATCCCTACATATCATTACGAATGTACAAAATGATTTGTGTATATATATGATGATATTTATTATTATTATTATTAATATAATAAAGATGTAGAATTTTGCCTGTACAATTTAAAATCAAATCTCAACCTTATAGAAATACAATTCACTATCAATTTTAATATTAAAATAAGATTTTCATTATAATAACTAGAAAACAATTAAATAAAGAAAGGGATGAATCAATACAAGGTTCTGTTTACCTACTTAACAACACTAATATGATAGTTCAAATGAAAATATGTTATGCTTATAGTTTAACAACAGTTATATATATATATGTGTATGTATATATATGTATGTATGCATGTATATATGTATGTATGTAAGTATGTATGTATGTATGTATGTATGTATATGTGTATGTATGGCTTTGTTACTAGCCAGAAATTACACCGAAATTATAAATGAGCATAAGTACTGATTTTTAAAAAAATATGCATTAAACATGAGATTCATTCATGTGAGGATTATTCTTATAGTTTAAAACAAATAATTAATAAAATATTGGAAAAAAAAAGAAAATTGTTTAAAATAAACTACTTTTTTTTAGAGAAAAATTTAAAACCTAAACCGGATTTTTTTGGTTGAGGAACTGTTATAGGAGGTGGTTTTTTATTTAATTGTATTTGTGATGCTGATGATGTTTGATTAATATTAGCTGGTGTAATAAACGATGTTGTTCGTTGTTCCGTTGATGGTTGACTACTACTTACACTTGGATGTTTACGAGTTAATGTATTTGGTGTTTGTATCATTGATGTAGGTTGGGTTGTTACCGGTTTTGAATTAGTTTGTTGTTGCTGTTGCTGCTGCTGCTGTTGTTGTTGTTGTTGAGATGAAGAAAGTTGAGTTACTGGTTGGTTGGGTGCTGTTGGGGGTAGTTTTGAATTCAGAATAGATTGTGATCCAATGAACCTAATAGATGTTGGTGTTTTTATCCCACTTGTTACTAAATTAGGACTGGCTGCTCTTAATTTAAGATTGGAAAGAATTGAAGCAGGCCCACCAGTTGTTGTTGTTGTATTCAATTCAGATTCTGTACTTGTTGTTACTTCGAGATTAGGTGATACAGATGTTGATTTTTTCTGTAGTAACAGACTTGGTGACACTGCTAAACTTGTTAATACACTAGGAGGATTTCCACCAGGAAGAATACCTCTACTACTAGATGTAGTCTGTCCATTCATTTGACGTGGTTTCAAACCTTTCGATTGAAGACAAAGACGAGCTGCTGCATGGAAAATAGTTTGAACTTCTTTATAAGTTTCAGTAACAGTTATCTCGTAATATGGAATTCCGTGAGATTTTGCAAACTCTTCAGCTTCTGCTTTTTGAACCAAACTACACAAATTTTGGATAGAAAAAAAGAGATTATTGCACTTCTGTGAAGTGTTATTGAATTTTATTCAAAGATACAATACAACAATGAAGTTAATGTAAAGGTGTAAATGAGTGATACATCAGCACTGGACAGTCATATAAAGTGATTCATTCACATATTTTTGATCGATCTGTCTTACTCAAGAACTCTTATTATTTTCATTCAACTTCTGTTACATCTATCCCACTTTATTTGACTCAATGATAATCATTTTAATTTTTGCCTCACTTTATCCTGATTCTATATTTATTAGCTTAAATTATTTGATGTTTGTTTATAGACGATAAGTGACTGATTCACAGTCACTCACAGTCAGGATTTAACAAGGCTACATGTTAGTATAATTTACAAATTTTCCTTCTATACAGATAACAATCAGGTAAATTTACAAAAATAAAACAGTTCGATTTAAGATGTCATTGTAACCCCTATCAGATGGAATGTACTCTAGCTCAATTATCAATATTATTAAATAAATAATCAACCTTGATACGACGAAGCAACGAAAAATGCTTCAAACGATTATTCATATTATAAGCAGAAATGGATGATGGTTAGCGGTTTCGTCCTATTTCGGACTCGTCAGCTGGATGTACCTGAATCCCAGAGTTGATGTTCACTCATGAACTTGAGCCCAGTATTGTTCTCTTAAAATACCATTGCATTATCCACCTGGCTACTGAGTCCTGTTAACCACTAGCATGTGCAATAAGAAGCTGATCAATTGCAGTACAAAACATCAATGGGAAGATTCAGTCAACCAATACAAAATGAATTAAAACTTTACTACATTGCACAAGCTATTGGCCATCTGGACTCAGTAGTTAAAATGGATAACGTGATAGCGTTTGAAGCAAACAGTAATGGGTTCGAGTGCCGCAGTAAAAATCAACTCTGCGATGCAGGTGCACCCAGATGACAAGTCCCAAATAGGACGAAACGTGCATCCTGGATCCCAATGTTAGCCACCATAAATCTATGCTCATAATGTTTGTGACTTAAGGCAATACCGAAGCGATCTTTACAGGACGTACAAATGCAAATATAAGTCTGATTATTTTCAGTCCTAAAGATCAATGGGAAGCAACCAATACAAAAATGAATTATTGGTTTTGTTCAGCTACTTATAATTATATATAGTAGTAAAATGTAATGATTGAAAGATTTTGTGAGCTGTAGATTAGCTACCAAATTCATTCTACGTCACAAAAAGTGTTATGAAAACTATAAGAAAAAGTCGTTCAACAAAGATTTCTATTTCTACCAAATTCATTCCTAAAGTTATTTAACCATGAATACGAAGTTTTTAAACATTAATAGACAATTATATATATATATATATATATATATATATATATATATATATATATATATATATATATATATATATATATATATATATATATGTTACTGAACGTAGTGACTGCATTAGTGCTTCTTCACTGTTCATCCTATTTTAACATTTTCTTCTAATTAATTACTTACCGAAATCTTTCCAAATCTGATTTATTTGCAACAAGTATTATACTAGGTGGTTTGACAGTATTTATAGTATATAAAGCTGAACGTCTTAACGAACCAGATTGTGTTAAACTATGTTGTGTACTGTTTGAATTAGGATTTACTGATGAAACTGATGAAGAACTTAATGATGTTGATGATGATGTATTTATTTGTTGTGAATTATTTGATTTGGATTGTTGTGTTCCTGATAATTTTGGATTTCTGTCAACTGATTCAGATTGTGAATGAATTGCTTCAACAAGCTCTTGAGCACGATAAAAACTTCGACGACTTGTCATAGAAAATAATATAATAATTGCCTGTGACCATTTAATTATATCATCAAGATCAATTTCATCCTATGAAATGAAATGAAATCAATGTAATCACTCAATTGATTTTAATTTCAATCATTTATTTGTCGTACTAACTATAAAAAAAATTATAAATATTTTATATTTTTGATTGAGATCATGAACCGGTTGATGTTAGACCACCGTTGGAAACCTGGAAGCACTGGACGGCCATTCGTTCTACTTTGGGACTCCTTAGCAGTGCTCATCCACGATCCCGCCCACGGGATTCGAACCCAAGGCCTTCAGTCGCGCAATTTCGTGGATTGGTTGAAGTTAGACACTAACACCATTGTTATAAATAAGTAATGATACCTACTAACACCATTGGATGCCGGCTCAGTGGTCCAGTAGGTTAAGCGCTCGCGCGTGAGAGTGGAGGCCCCAGGTTCGAATCCCGTGAGAGGGATCGTGGATGCGCACTGCTGAGGAGTCCCACAATCGGGCGAAACGGCCACCCGGTGCTTCCAGGTTTCCAACAGCGGGCTAACATCAATCGGTTCATGGTCTCAATCAAGAACTTAATAATCTCCAGAACCTCTATACTCACATTTTATATTTGATTGCTCTATCTAACATCTCTGTTCTCGTTCTCGTTCCTTATACCTTTTTTAACCTTCTGCTGTCAGGAATTTTACGTCTCACTGATTATACATACTACTTATATCTATCAACATCAGTAACACAAACCACACTATGTCAAACACATGTAGACGTTATGCTACTTCTGCATAACTGTAATAAACCTATATAATTATTCTTGAATTCTTTAAAGAAAGAATTATCTTTAGCGGAAAATCATTTATAAGCAACACATGTTTCCCATATAACTGGAACTATTTCTACATGATAGAAGTATTTTTTTTAGATTAAAATATACTATCAATAATTACACTGTGTAATATGAAATGTTCATATCAAACATACTATATTGTTAAACAATTTCTATACTAAGTAATTGTTTACTTTGTATATTTTAAGCATAAAATCAATAGGAGACATTTTTATATGTACTACTGACTAATTACTAAGTGAAATAAAGACAAATGTTTCAGACAGTGATTTTTCACAAACATTACTGATGTTGATTTTTCTAAAAGATACTACAGTTGGTTAGAAGTTTTGTGAAGAATTCGGCTTTTCTAAGTAATCGAAGTTAGTTGAAGTACTAATTAAACTATGAAACATGCTATAATGATCTCCTTCATTATGGTTTGATACTTTAATGAAGCAATTTATCTAAAATTCGTCTTCCCCGGCTTTGAAAGGACATAAAACTTCTCGATCTCGCAGAGAAAATCCTACTTCCAAACTATTTAATCAGCTGTTAGTGATTGACGACTCAAACTTCAATCAATCTACAATATGAAACAACATTATTTAATACAGTTGATGTGGTACTGTCTCAATTCTAACATAATTAAACTCTACCAGCCATGATTTTCCACTATGCCTTTAATTGTGATGTGTACTACTGTTGTCGGTAGAATTAAGTAGTATGTATAGTCAATCAGAAATGAAATATCTGGCAGCAAAATGTTAAGATAATCAAAGGAACGAGAACAGAGAATGGATGGTAAGGAAACGAAAGGACAATGAAGTCGGAGATGATTGATGGACATTTGCAGAAGAACATTTAAGTATGAGACAACTGATTGACATTTTGCAAATGAAGTATTTACAGTATGATTCTCAAATTTTACTAAGAAATTTTGTAATGTTGTATTAAAATACATTTGACTGTCCCCTTTTGTATTCTTGTTCACTACACAAGTTTAATCGAAGATTAGTAGTTTATAGTTATAACAAGACTTAAAATGAAACTATTACTGAACACTTAAGCAATACTTATTTTGGATGTAATAGAACATTATCATTGAATAGAATATTCTGTTAGTTAATTTATGTCACAAGATGAAAATCATTCAGTATATCTCAGTTAAATATTCATTTATTTCAATCATTATTAAAACAAATTTATCTTACACTATCAGATGTATCCTGAATGTTCACTGTTAATTCATGGCCGTCGACTGAATCAGCTTTCGTGTAACTGTCACCTGAACATATAAATAAGCAGTTGATCAATACAATGTATAAAAAATAAATAGATTAATCAATTCAGTAAAAACTATACAACAGGCCAACCATTTTTATTGAAACGTTTCTCGATAACAAACACCAAATATAAGTAACGTTTTAATCTTAACTTTTAATGAAATTAGTGATAAGATTTATAGAAAATGATGTATCAAGATATATATCTATTTTATTAGTGACAATTGCAAAGTATATCAAAGCGTTCACACACGAGACCAGTAGATCCTGGATCCGATTCTAGCGAGGCTGGATGGTGGATGCGCACTGCTGAGGAGTCCCACAATAGGACAAAACGGCCGTCCAGTGCTTCCAGGTTTTCCATAGTGGTCTAGATTTAATTGACTCATGATTTTAACTATCAAACTTACTGCAATACTAACAAAAAACCCCTTCTGATATTAATTCTTTTATAGTTTACATTACAAACAAAATCATTTGAAACCACAATGAAATAGACAGTTGCTTTTTCCTAGTACAGAATTCTTCAGTATTATGCATCTATGATCGCACGGAACCTAAGACCTTTAAATCATATGACTTTTAGTCTAATATTTGATGGTTTTTATTTCTCATCCAACTTTCAGTGTTATTGCTGAATAACTGCCCCAAACAGAACACGGTTGAATTCCACTGTTCATGGCTAGTCACCTGAACCTCATGAATCCCATTTGAAGGATGATACAGATGTCTAGTGCTTCTTACATTTTAGTGGTTGTTAAACAAAGGTCTCTTGTTGATGTATATGATAAGATTTAACAAATGTAAGTATTTGATTCACAGTTATAAACTGGAAGGTAAGTGAAAACATAAATTACTTTTTTATAGACGTTATGCATATTCACTTAAATCTTAGGGTTTTCTGGTTCAGCAAGGTTTTTTTAAAGAGTTGTTTATATTTAGTGTTACGGACGCAGTTATTTGTGTAGAAATAAAAAGATGTAATTATCTCTTCTCCAAAATTCTCCGTGGTTTCATCAAACAAGTTTTAAAAAATACACATCATACTTACTCAGATAAGGTGCATATTCCACAATGAAACGACGGGTTAGATATTTGACGACCACAGCTGTAGAATAACATTAACAAGAAATACCAGATAAGTTAAGCATATTACTTGTGATGATTATCAGGATAAGCTCAACTCGATCACGGTAAATATGAATTCATATATATATGTCGTTACCTGTTTTCATGATTTAACATCTCTAAACACTTTGTTTTCATGTTTGATGGTTGGAATAATTAATGGAAACCTCTCAACTACTGTTATATACCAGTTGTTACCAGGTTAACGTTTAACTCCTAGAAAAGATTGTGTTTCAAATAGCTCTATGGTATTACTATTTTTATCAAGACTTTAAAGACTTTATTATTAAAGTGTCAACTAGCACGAAACATTCAGAAAAACTTATTCCAGACACCTTTAAACAAGTTATAGTATAACCATGAATTTTACCTTCATTCAAGAAATGTCACTTAGATTCATTAAAATGTCAAATTTTACCCAAAATATCGGTCAATTTGTGAGTGGAACAATAGGTAACTAAGGTTCGTGAGTAGAAACTGAAAGAAATATAACGGAAAACAGAAAATGAGTAATTATCTACGAATACCATTAATTTTGAGACATATCACCTAAGATTAGATGGTGGACGGCGGTAGTCGACAGGAAACCATGACACGGGATTGAATCCGCCAGGCACACACCAGTTACCTCAAAGATTACAGGTACACCTTGCTGATGAATGCCAAGTAGCACGAAACCCGGGTCCACGGTTTCCTGTCGACTACCTCCAACCACCATCTAATCTTACAATAGTGCCCGCGGTATCGAGTCACCTAGACTGGTAGCCACATTGCAACATGATCGATAGCATTCGATCTGCACTAATAATAAGGACTAGACACGCTTGACATTGGTCACCCAGTGATCAATCAATTGTGACATATCACCTAAGGTTTACATTCACTTATTACGATCATCACATGGACATATACGCTAAAACGTGATATCATGGTTTATGATCATTTCTAAATCTCGTTATTTCTTGCATCATTCTAGTTTAATCTTCTGGTAGTCAGTATAGTACATTAAGATATATATTCAATAATCTAAACTCACTTGGAAAAATATCAGATATTAACAAGTTCCTAAAGATCCTGCTTTTATTCGGATAAAAAAAGAGCTAATTTCTATTTCGATTAATGGAATGTACTTTGTAATGAGTATTAAACAAAATCATTCTACAATGTTGCGTTATCTGTCAACTATTTGATATGAAAATTGTTCAAAATTAAATGAATATAAGTAAATCGAAGTGTGTTTTTAATGACTGTATTAATCATAATATTTACAACTTCACTTAGAATGACATTTAACACTCAACTGTACTAATTATCATACAACTTTATTCATAGTCAGTTTATCAATTAAAGTATTCAAAGTTGCCATTTTACTACTTAAGACTTAATTTAAAAGTAATAATATTTCTCCTGAATCAAATCTGACCTATAATAAGCAAGTGACTATTGATTAAAACAATTAGGCGACTATATGTACGGATTCCTATGGCTTCAGCTATATGTAGGAGACGGGAACGAACTCCATTGGGAAATGATGGGGGTATACAATAGATCACTCGAAATGATTTCGATTTATCTACCGCATGACCACTATCAATAAGATGCGCCAGGATTGAACTGCGTACTATACTATACTGTAAATTTACAATTAGAGAGGGATTATGAAAATATTTTAGTGATTTAATAGTTGAATTCCTGAGTCAAGTGAAGCTAGACCACCATGGAAACCTGGAAGCACAGGACGGTTGTTTCGTCTTAGTTCGGGATTTTCAACAGCGCGCAATCATGGTCCCGCCTCCTGAGATTCTAACCCATCATCATACGCTCACTAGTGACGGTCTCAGAGAGGTATTTCCTAGAGTTCTAGTGAGAAGTCGTAAACAGGGTCTGATGTGAGATAGTAATTTATTAAAGACAATGATGGACTGTGGCGCAATTTCATGGATTAGTTGAAGTTAGATATTTGTCCGGATGTTAAGAGCTCGCACGCGAGATCGGTAGGTTCTGGGTCCGAATCTTGTGATGCGGAATCGTAGATGCGCACTACTGAGGAATCCCGTACTGGGACGAAAAGGCCACCCAGTGCTTCCAGTTTTCCATGATGGTCTAGCTTTAATTGAATCATGAATCCAACTATTAAATTCACAATTCATGTATTTCAAATAAGTGTTCATAGAATATGTTCAATTACAGTTCTAGTATCTTTTGGAAGAAAAATTACATTGATATAAACTTGTGAGCTCAAAATAATCCATCATATTCTTAGTCGTAAACAGGTTCACGATTTATTGGTCATCATATTTAGGATGAGTTAACTGATGAACAGAAACATAAAATGACGTTTTTTTACAAAAATCACTACATAATCCACAATGTTCAAATGAAACCGAAACTCTATATTTCTCGGCACTATTTAGACATAAAAGCTTTTTGATTACTAACATTGAGGCCCTAGATCTGGCTCTAGGTAAATCGTATCACTGTTATTGAAATACACATGTCGCCTATACTCGTGTATAATCATTGACTTAAATCGCGTTAGTGAATAATGGAATTAAATAAGTTAAATACGACAATAAAGTTTTGAATATGTATATTTCGTACAATCGTTTATCAAAGCAGGCGATCAGAGAGACTGGGCGAAGGAAGTGAAGAGAAGAGAGAGAAGTGAAACTAAATGACATGTAATGGAGGTGAGTGATCCAACTCCATTTAATTAAACGTTAATCGATATTTACAGTCAGACAAAAATGCCACAGACATGTGATGAATAATATAAGAAATGCACACAGGTTTACATAAGAAGTCAAGGTTGATAAGCGAATAACGAACCAGGTCAAAATGTGACTCAAGAAGGATAAATAAAATGACATTCCCAAAGCTAGAATAAGTTGTGTGGGCTTAGCAAAGCAACCGACACTGCAAAACCTTATTTTTCAATTGATGATATTATTACTAGAAGGGCTTTTGTGGAGAATTGGTAATTTCAATAGTTGAAATCATGAATCGATTGAAGCTAGACCACCATGGAAAACATGGAAGCACTGGACGGCCGTTTCGTCCTAGTATGGGACTTCTCAGCAATGCGCACCCACTCGTGGTTTAGTTGAAGTTAGACATTAACACCGTTGGATGCCAGCCGGCTCAGTGGTCCAGTTGGTTCGGATCCCGCGGGGGGCGGGGTCGTGAATATGCACTGCTCAGGAGTCCCACAATAGGACAAAACGGCCGTCCAGTGCTTCCAGGTTTTTCATGGTGGTCTAGCTTCAATTGACTCATGATCTCAATTATTGAAATTACTACAATCTCCACTAAACCTTTTCTGATAAATCTCCTAATTGAACTCTTGATTAGGTCTCCTAAAGTCTTCTAGTAACACCCAGGCTAAATCTAAACGGCAACTTGAACACGAGAGAAAAGGCGCTATTTGTGAAAAGAACGCTTTACTTAAAGGCTAGTTTATGCACAGATGATCCATGGTATCTTTAGCATTTCAGATGGTCCTGGAAAGTTCTGGAACTTTTGTAAACACACTAGCAGGATAGGCAACCATCCAATCAGAAATGTGGCCTGTGACTTTTCACTTTCCAGATGTTTTTGGGACACTTTTATTGAATGGTGATTGGATAAGATGTTTCCTAATGTTTTCATGGCTCCTTCAGGATTTTTTTAAAGGAATAGATACTTCGACTTGGCTAAACTTTGTTTGAGCGAATTCGATATCATTGAATGACATTTTATTCATTTATATTACCAATGAATAGAACTAAATTTATTATTTCTCGTCTACTTTGATATACAGATTATTTACGGAACATTTTAGACTGTAATTAAAACTGATAACTTACTAAGCATTTAATAAATACAAAAGTTTGGTTTAAGGGGTTTTCTAAAATGAATTTAGTTCTTAAGTTATATTGGCCATAGATTGATCTAATTATGGGTACCACTGAAAACCGGTACATTCCAGTTGAAAACAATGCCCACTGATTACTACTTAATGACATATTAGTATCATTATATTATCTGATATTTTACACTGACCAACTTCTTTTCGTTTTTTTCAATCTAATCTTCTTTTAACGCTAGCACTAGGTGAATTGAGTTGCTTTTCTTCTTGTCCATTTTTGTTAGTGTAAGATGTAACGGTTAATACTTTGTGTATAAACACCTAACTGACTGCCGTTGATCCTTACCTTAAAACCTGACTTTTAAAAAGAATTGGCGTTTGTGTAGTGGTCATTTCTCTTAGGTCATTCATTTTTACTCACATTTCCATGAAGACTTCTTAATTTAGACTATATAATCTGATAAGTAACCTTAATGAAATGAAACATAATGTGATCTGCCTAAATGAAATCTAGTTTATTACTATACTGGTCCTCCCAGCCTTCCTATAATAAGTCGAATTTATTTTGTTTTATTATCGCAAGTGAAGAAAGTAATACGTATAATCCTACTAAGACGGGAAATGTACGGACATTGTACAATTTGTTGTCCATATCACAGAATGAATTTATCCGATAAAGATTAAAAACTAGGAAGTACTAGCCAGTTCTTTTGTCTTAAGATGAGATTTCATCGAATTCAAACTCACTGACTGAAAGTTAGTCATGGAAAGTTTGATCTCTAGCTGGATGATGAATGCAAAACGTTCACGACACATATTTTGGGAATAACAACTGAGTACATTCGAATCACAAGAGTAATCTTATTCATGTTTAATATCCGGAATCAGTAAATAATCGTGATATCAACTAACTGTAAAGCTGATGACGATTTACCAATCAATTTACGCCAGTTGATCCTAAAATATGAGCTTTATCGTAATGTTAGATCACGCATATTAAATCTATGACTAACTATAATTTCTCAATAAAACTAGAAATTTGGTAAATTTGAAATAAATGCCATCACTGGTCAGTTAAATATTAACTTATCTAGTGAATATCATTTCTATTTCTGGTTAGTGTTTTTTAGCGA